GAGGTGATTGATTTCTTTCAGCTATAAATATTGATTGATATTATGAGGAACGGCCGCATATGAGCAGAATGTCGAATTGAAGTTTTATTTTGCATTACTCTTGTGGGGGAGTAATTGATTCCATTGAGCACAACCACGAATGTGATATTTCAAAAATGTTCGGTTCCAAATTTGGCTATATAGTTATGAGATCCAAACTTTGGCGATCCGAAACTATGATTTCATTTACCTATGTTTTAGACCGGACGTGACATCCGTTTAACCCAATACCTCACACCACCCTCAAATAGCCATCCCCTCTTTTGCTATCGCCTATTGCCTATCGAGTTTCCCGTCTGCTTCAAGAACTTGCCTTCACTGACATCTCCATTGGAAAAGAAGATCTCTGCTCATAGTAAAAGAGTCATTGGATATTTGATTTCTACCATAGTATATCCACAACCACATAGCAATTTTGGTGAAGCCGTACGTAGCGCTGGTTTAAAGCCAAAATGTAGTGATGTTTATTTTAGAGACAAGCATACTTGTTCGTTTGAAGTTAAATTAGAGGCCATTAATAAAGAAGCTAATCATTGAGTTTGAATGATAACATTAGTTATAAATGTAGACTAATTTGAATTTTAGTTGTCTTTTTTTTTTCAAGAAAAAATTCCTATGTCTACATATGGATTCTCCCCAACACCTCTATCGCTGATGGTGCTACTGCGCCAGCCTCAATCGACTAGAAAACAAATACATAGTTAATAATTAAAAAAAAAAAAATAGATAGTATATATTAATAGACAAATCATCTCAAAACATGGTGGTGCATGCTTAGTCCATCTCAATCTGAAGTGCGGTTCTTTGCATAGGTTTTGGTCCTTTGGATTGTTGGCTTGAATTCCAAGCCTTTAACATAAGGTTCAAGTTAGTCTCCTCAATGTAACTTGGTTTCTTCCATGATCTCTTGCTCTTGCTAAAAAGGTTTCATATGGATTTCTTGTTCGTTTCTTGCCCATATCCGAAAACCATGTCATGATACTCAAGATCCCAATGGTATTTTTACTACGAAGATAATAAGTACTAGGTAGGTACCCTAGCCCATGTGCCTCGTCCCATGCCCGCTTCCTGGCCTACCCCTTACCCACTCGTTCCGTCCCAACCTTTACCCTTCCGGCTCGAGCCCTTACACGCTCCCGTCCCAACCCTTACTCGTCCCGCCCTATTCTTTACCTGCGTTCCGTCCCAACCCTTACCCATTCCGTCCGAACCGTTACCCATCACGACCCAGTCTTAGTCGTGATATCTTGTATACATGTAACATTCCACAAAATATAATTGAACAATCGAACATAATATTATTTATAAAATCAATACAAAATATTATTAAAAACGAAACATAAATTATCGAGGTAATCATAGACATATAATTATATCATCTATGGTAACGCTTTTTCATCGTAATCATCACTACCAAAAGCAACTCGGATAAAATCTAAAATATGGGCTATTCTATCAAATCCAAGCCTCTTCCATTCTGAAATATATGCGTTTTACTTTCATCTCAATCATTTTTTTCTTTAGGTTGTTACAACATCTAAACAATAGTAAAAATCCTAGGAACATGATTCCACATATACCATATTAATAAATTTTAAATTATTATGTAAATTTTAGTTTTTAGATATAATTTTAGAAATCAATATTCTAATTTTATAAAAAAAATTTTTTTGAATATAAAATGTAAATTTTTTTATTCATTTTAAAAAAATTTCTAATATTTTGAATTGTGTCTCCACTATATCATTGTTATACTCCTTTTCTAGTAGCAATATTTAGTATTTTTAATCATCGCAAATTTTTTTTTATTAATACTTTTCACTAATGGTTTTTTGATGAAAACATTTTAAAACTACTCATTAACATGTTAATTTTACCACAGATTTTTTCTAAAAAAAATTAAGGAGTACTAACCCCTAACATGGAAGTCTAAACCCTCATAAATATATGTAAGTATTGAAAATAATGCATAGATTGTAAACCCTAAACTCTAGTATCGAAGCATAAATAAAAAAAACACGTAAAAATTGATATTTTTATAGTAACCTTATGCCATCACATTTTTATTAGGAATGCTAAGCCCTAACGTAAACGTATTTGGTAATCTGAGGCTGTCATGTGTCATGTAGCACTCTTATTCAACCAAAGAAGATGTCGTAAAATGCATTCCGGTGAACATATATAGGGACTTTCTTGAACAAAGAAAAACAAATCATTTATCATTGCTACGTATCAAAACATTTAAGGACTTACGAACACACTAAAAGTGAGAAATGTGAAAATATGATACCATAAACATCGAAGGTAGAGAGTTATTTAAATACTATTCGTAGATATTTGACTTGGTGACGACCATAATGTTTTGTTCAGCATTATGGGCACTAAAGATACATGAACCAATTCATAAGGGGAATTTGTTGTTACATCTAAAAGAGTAAAGAGATATAAGATAACTAAGGGAACCAAAAGTTAAAGTTTTACAAACTAAACGACAGTTCATGAATGAGACATCCAAGAGTATTCATACGAAAGACCTTTTTACATGAGTGGTCAATGATGAGCCCGCCATAGTTCCACTTATGTAGTTTTGATGGATCTCACTTGTTTTGAGATTGTGTTTAATCTGTTCACCAGAAAACACAATATATGTTGCAAAAAAAAAAAATATGTATATATATATGGCAGAATTGAAAATCATTTGTACCATTTATGAAGATTAAAACAAATCTTCAAATGAAATTGTTAACTAAAAAGCTATGCTATTGCATAGAGTTTGAAGAATCATTAGCAATGGGCAATGCTCGTCTCTGTTTGACCAAACGCCAAGACACATACTGATGCAGCCTCACAAACAGAGGTTACGTGGAGGATGAATGGCTCGAACCGGCCGTACGACACCTGTTGCGAGACGGGTAGTGATGAGCGATGGAAGCGAAGCGATAGGCAGATCCGAGTGCTGGCCGTACGACGCTTTCACTACGGACAAAGAGATGAACGAGTGGATGCGAGGATGGAACGAAGTCACCACGAGCCGGATGGAAACAACTCGATACTGACGGAGCGAACAACTAGAAATCCCGGATTCCAAGGTTGTTCAAGAGAAATTCTTTAAGAAGAATGCTTTTGCTTTATTGATCAATGGTGANAAAAATACAAGGCTGTTAGGGGATTTATATACTCGTCCGATCAGCTATGCCCTTCTAGGGGTCTTGACATTTATTACAAAGATTCGACATCTAACTAATTAAAACACAATTGGCGAAACAAATGCCCGACGCTACTTAAGGAAAGAAATCACACGACAATTTCAAATAAAGAATCATTAGTATCAAAATAATTAAAATAAATCAAGACTTACCTTAGTGGGATAGAGCCGTTGGATCACGTCGGATTGGGTAGAGCCTTAGTCTTCAATGCGCGATATTCCAAAAAAGGCAAGTGTCCGTTGCAAGTGTTCTTGGCT